TGCTAAAGAATTATTTTCAAAATAGAAGACAATTTGTTCAAAATGGCTTAGAAATCTCGTCTTTAAAAAACATCACATGTGGAGTGCCACAAGGTTCAGTGTTAGGTCCCTTATTATTTTTGCTTTACATCAATGATATAACAGACCATTTAGAATACAGTGAAATAACTCTTTTTGCGGATGATACAACAATGATTGTAAGTGAATCATCAACCTCAATACAGCTAAACTTGCAAAAGGAACTGTCAAAAGTTGATGACTGGTGCAATAGTAACAAACTTACCATCAACACCGGGAAATCTAAACTAATGTGCTTTGGAAAGAATTTCAGTAATCAAAACACTTTTTATATAGGAGAAAATAATCTAACCTATACTAGTTCTTTTAAGTATTTAGGAGTAACCATTGATAACAAATTGAAATTTTCTCAGCATATTGATTTAATTTGCCTTAAAATGGCCAAGTTCAATGGAATTTTGTATCGAGCTCGAAATTATTTCTCGAAAAATGCCTTAATTCTTTTTTACAAATCATATATCGTACCAGTAATATCATATGGACTCATGGTTTATGGATGCTCATCTAAGCAAAATCTCATGAAAATTTTAGTAGCCCAAAAAAAATTATTGCGCGCCATTGCATTCAAAAGAAAATTTGAACATATATCACATATTTTTGAAGAACATAATCTTGAAACTGTTCATGATATGTTTTTGAGGCAATTAGTGTCCGAAACAGTATTGCAGGTTCATGGAACATCACCGTTAAAATTCTTGGAAAAACATAACATTAAGGCCAAAAGAATGACAAGGTTTTCGAGTAAGGGTCTCGTTAATTCTTTTTTTACGAAGTCGTGTATCACTGAAAAATCAATTGAAGGTAAAATAGTAAAATGCTTCAATTTTCTGCAAAAAAATGATCTTTTACCTACTGATTTGAAAAGTTATTCAAGTCATCAGCTCGCAAGATTCAAAAAGCAGCTTTTCTTATTATATATCAGATATAACAAGGTGTTGATGAAAATTTTGTTATAATATAGGCTAATTTAAGTATACTTTTATCTCCAATTTTTTTTCCGTTGCTGGGGTGCTACTTGATGGGCTGCACAGCCCGTATAGATACTCCTGATGCATTATACATATAATTTCTTTATTATTGTGTATAATTGTATCGAATTCAAATTCAAATTCAAATTAATCATTTTGGAAATAAAAACTCTATTACTAGGGTTTGCTTCTGAGATGAGTAGTATGTCACAAAACTGCATACAATGACAAAAAAAGTCTGCCTAAAAAATCTGGTGTTAGAGGTTTTATACGTTTTTGAAACTTATGAATTGTACAGAAACGGTTTTAATAACAAATTTTGTTGACATGGGAATTGAGTCTGAATGTATGAATTCAAACCTCGCAATTTCTGAAAATTGGTTAGTACAAGTTAAGGTGATTGTAAGTAAAAAATTTGCAAAATAAGAATTTTTTTCATGTTTGTCAGTTAGCAACCCAAATCACCTTTGAACTTGAAATTTTTTTTGTGTCAAGTCCCCCCTCCCAGTTAGACCAAGTTAAGATCTCCCAACCGAGCATTTAATTCGTATTAAGTTTGTTGAGCCCAGCATATAAAATGCTTGATTCTGATTGGCTGAAAACTCCCAACGTAGAACCAAGTTAACATCCTCCCCCCAAACGGGGCAATTTAACTTGTTACTTGGCAGTATTTAGACAACCGCCTATTTATAATTGTCAAACGCAGACAAAAAGTGTTTTAGCCAATCAGAATAGAGACAAGGGAGAATATAATAACTGATAATGGTTTATTTCGTAAGTTTGCTTTTTCATCTCAATTTTGATTGATTAATATAGTTTTTGTCTTCTTACTGACGAGCACGATTACCCGGTTGTCTGAATGCAGACCGCACTCTATGTTGGCTAATGTTAACTTTGTCTGCTTATTTAATAACACCACACCAGATTTTGTAGAATAGGATTTGGAGTCACTAGAAATTAAAAAAAAACATTCTCAGCCATAATTACTCCCATTTTTTTGGTTTCCGTTAAATTGGCCTGCGACACTGAATAGTTTGACAAAATATGGTCTTTGAAGTGTTCTTTGAGAAAAATGGCTCTAAATGTGACGCATTTTAACTGAAGTTCTACAAACTTCGATGTAGGCTAGAATGAATTAGTTAGAAGAACTGACCGGCAATGAGAGGGAAAGAGTTAAGTTTGAAAAGAATTTTCACGGAAATTTACTTGGAAATCTTTTCACTTAGCCTTAAAATTGTCCGCGAGAAACCTAAGCCCATGAGTTCCAATTCTGAATGACGGCAGAAAGGCCTTACTGTGGTTTCACACTATATCACATATTGGTACATGATTTCGCGGGGGACGACTCAACCTAGGCCATATTTCTTTCTTAGTCTTTGGAGAGTAGTCGAAACAATATTAAACAGTAATATTAAAAAGAAAAATAATAAGATAGATTTTATAAATTTTGTTTATATTTTGTCTGTTGTCTACGACATTTGAACTTTAATCTTTGCCGAACCTAATTTTACCACATTTTTGACATGATTATGCCGCCAAATTAGTAAACTGAAAGACTCAAAACTCAAAAATCAGAAAGAAATCATTTAAAAGCAACAACTAAACTACGATTTGAAATTGGAATCTGAATCACCCAAAAGTATTGCCATTGTCATTGGCGCCCAATAGTTTTTAAAACAAAGAAACCGAAACCAAGGTTTTTTTTTGTTGGAAAAATCAACGAACCCATCCTTATACTAACCAGTCATATAGTTTATTATTTTTTTTTTGGATTGTAAGTTCCAAAGAAAAAAAAAACTCAAAATCATTTTTTTTGTTACAATACAATTGCGAGGGTTCCATGTAATCAAAGGAATTACATATTGGCCATTTTACATTTTTGTCTGACACGTCAAAACGTGAATCAAGTTTAGGAGACAAAGTCAATTAAAAATGAATTCAACCTATGATGCTGTTTTTAAAGTCATAGAAACAGACGTAGAAATTTTAGCAAAAGCAATTAACCAAGCCATAAGCGATTCCGACGAAGTACAGATCATAAACGATTTCTTAACGGAATTGAAGAGCTTGCTTGACGATGCCAATAACGAAGCAGTCAAGATAATACGCACCGGAACGGACCAGCAAGACTCAATCATTGAACGATTGAAAACTTTGAAAGTTTTGTACCGAACGATCCAACTACGATCAAAACGATACGAGCGTACCCTCAACAACACTGCCACGTCTTCTTTAAACTCATCACGAGTAGCCAGCAACGTCTCGACGCCTTCAATAATACGACAAGCCTTGAAAAATCTTCCCCTTCGACGCCAAACGGAAAGTTTAACCCGTAGTACCACTACACAAAACGTCACCATAGACCAGGACACCCCGGACGATTTGCCACAATTTTCAGGATTGCCAGCAAGCTTAAACGCTACTTCAAACCACAGATCAAATTCCGCCCAGGACAATTCAGGACTCCTACTTCGCCCCGGATCTAACAGCGACGCCAATACCTTGGATCATCGCATTCATCAACAAAAAACAGAAACTCTTGGAACTCAAACTGCCCATGGAACTCACCTCCATCTTCAGTCAAACCTCTCATTGCAGCAGTCGAACGCCGACTTGTCACAAAGTTCAAACCTTCAGCCGAACCACCCAGAAGCTCAACTTCAAGGAACGACTATAGAATTGAACAATGGAACTCAACTCCAAATCGACAATCAGCAATTGACAGCAACAGTGGGACAAAGACCGAACTCAGAAGCTCAACTTCATGAAACGTCACAGCACTCCAACCCTGGAACTCAAATCCAAGTTTTCAATCAGCAGATGAACGCACCAGCAACCCAACAAAGAAATGTTTCAGCGCCAATATTCTCGCGAGTATTGGACCATAGTAACAACTAGATGACCAACATGATCAACGACAGCTAACACTGTTAGAAAATAAGTCAGCTCAATTTGATTTTTGAAAATCTAACAAAATATGTTTATGATGGGCTAGATTGGTGGTCTGTATCGCGTGACTTTTTTACGACGGTGTGAAAAAATCCTTTAAGTCGCAAAAAGCAAAACTCAATCTTTTTAGTCTTAAATCAAATCTAGTTGATCTTTGGAAGTGTTTTGGATTAGGAGACAACTGTTATGGTTTATTATGATCCAGCTTAATGCTGACATGCTGCTTAGTTGCTTGAAATAATCCTCAAATCTGGTGCTCCTATCGAGCGCAGTCTTAGCCAGACATGTTGGTTCCATACTATTTTTAGTGATTTCATATTTTGC